CATATAGACAAATAGTTGCAAATGGGTCAACAAAGACATTATTTTCCTCAGGGTACCCATAACCAGGAAAATGGTTATACAGACTACAGTAACTGCTACCACATTGATGTTTGTCATACATAGAGTGCTGCCATAACACACACATGCATAAGAAGCCCACTTCTGAAGGTCATAAGGTACCCGAGAAGCATTCTCTACTGCATATGCTGTGGGGGGGGGGGGGGGGGGGGACTTGTTTTGGAGAACTTCTCCAAAAGGCTTGAAAAAAGAAGAGTCGTTGGCATAACAATCACTGTATGCTGCAATTGTCACTTTTGCTTTCCTTCACTAGAATCAGGGAGAGGGATGAGGTACTAAGCAGAAGAACACACATGTAAGTCTATTCAATAATCCTGTAAGACCTTCCTGACATACTTTAAACAAAAAAATGGACCAATAGGACAAAGAAAATACCCAGTCGAATATCCATAGTGGAACTGGGTCAAGCCAGGTTGGTTTTTACTGAAAGACTTTTGGAGTAGGAAAGACATGAAACAAATAAATACACCTGGAATACTGCAACACTTCAATTGCAGAATTGATCTGTTTCCCCCCCCAAAGGTTCACCAAGAACCTAAAGCGAAAGACACACACTTGGGGTAGAATCCTGTGAAGTCCTTGTGCTTCTGGAAGAACATCTTCAGCAAATCTCAAAGAAAGAAGATTTCCCACTCTCCATGCATGTCATTAGTTCTATGCTGGAGGGCTTGGAAATCCTCCAAAGCAGTCACATAAAGGAAATGAAAGAAAAAGAGCATCTATTGTGGCAATGTGGGCTTTCATGTCATCTTCCCTGAAATCTTCTGATAGGCTTTTTCCTTTAGACCAAGGGCCCAGTTGGGGTTTGGCATTAGAATTAAAGGATGTTGAGTATGGAGATAGATAGATAGATAGATAGATAGATAGATAGATAGATAGATAGATATATCAATCCCCTGGTTCTTTATTTCAGCAGTATAATGGGAGTTGAGGGTGATTTTGTGGTTAAATGTATAAAGTCAAAAGTACTTCATGATGAACTGAAAATTACCTATATTACAATCTCTCCTCCTAACATCAGTACATCATGCTCTCAGTAGGGATCATCAATATACAATACTGAGGTGACCTCCCTTGTATCCACCAACCGTGGTTGGACCATGAGCCACCTGTGCTTCCTGTCCTTGACATCAAGAAAACGATTCTGCTGTGTTCCTTGAGCTAAAGTATCCCGCTACCAAAGCAAAACATGACAAACACTGGAAAGTCAACTCTTTTCACAAAGATCCACCTCATAAAGCTTTGGACAGATAAAGAATCATCCTATGCCTGAACCTATTTTGGGGACAAAGTTCAGCATCTTTGTTTGCTTCAATAAAGTTCAGACAAAAATCTGAACCAAATGCATCTCAACAATATACCTCCAAACTAAGTCTCTGGAAACCTTCAAAATCTGTTGGGCCACACTGGCCACCTCCACAGCCCTCATTCAATGGCTTTTCCTCATTTGTGTTCTTCGGTATACCTTTTTTCCCACGTGACAATGAAGTTCAGTGAAAGGACAACTGGATGGATTCATGATTATAACAGAGATAAATATTGTGAGGGAAGAACAATTGCCCTTGTACAAGCAGCACTTCAGGTCCAGACAGATTGGTTATGTGTACTAATTGAGTCACAGAAAATAGACAAGAAAAGCTCCTCAGCAGATTATAAAACTAGCACCTCCAAAGGTAACCAACCATACCCCAGACATCACAAAGGAAATCATATGGTTCTTTTTCCCCCCAATCATCCATCTTCATCATTTCAACAATTTCTGAAAGTGAGACCAGCAACAAAGCCTGAGTTTTCAATATGCCCCCCCCCAAAAAAAAATGAGGGAAAGTTTTTTTTAGCAATTGACTATAAAACCAGTGCTCCCAACAAAGCCAAATAATTGAAATCAAATCTCAACTACTGTTTTAAGTAAGTCGGTCAAATGGTAAGATGTCAGCTCTATTTGAGTAGAAACTCACAAACCTGCTTAACCATTAGACAAAATGTGGTGTGTAATATCTTCAGAAATCCCGGTGTTGTGGCATCTGAAGATCCCCCCCCCCCAACCTCCCTTTGCTGCCACCATGTCTTGAAAATTAACATTCATCCCATCCAGAAGTATATCATTTTCTGCCCACTCTACATCTTAGGTAGGTCCGACCATTGCCATAATTTCCCATTTTAATTGAGTCGTGCTCTCTATAAAAGTAAACATCACAATCAAAAATGTAGTGAGCTTTCTATTCATGTTATTATTGTGTTCCCTTGAAGGACACCAAAATGAATTGTTATCTTGTGAAGATTAAAATGTCTAAAGCATCTTACAATCTTTGAAGAGCTTATCTGTTACATTATGGTGTCTTCCAAGTTCACAGGACCCATTCTACAGATGGGTAAATGAAACATTAATGGCTACCAGCCAGTTCTTTCAAACCAAGGATAGCCACACATCTCTCAAAGGAGCAAACTGTCATGCAGTACAAAACAGCTCAAAACGGTTTTCACACATTGGTCTTCCTTTGGCCTAATTATGGCAGCTTTGTAGTCCACTACGAATCCATAGGGTTTAGACTGAATCCTATGGATCTTAATTAAATGTAGGGAGTGGGTACAACAAGAACACAATGTGAATAAGCATAAAAAACCAGATTGTTATATCCACCCCAGTTGATGGGCCTGGTTTCCACATGAAAGGCTTCCTCATTTCTATGGCTACTGGAACACAAGGACAACCATGTTTTGTCTTCAAACAATCTAGTTCTGTTGCTTAGACAAACACAGAAAATGCACACAGATCCACTCCACCCTGTTCCACCTATATCTGGCCATTTCCTCCCAAGTCATTCTGCCTCTCCATTTTATCTCTTAAGCTAAGGCCAAATATTCTCAGTCCTGGCTTGCAGAAGATGGATTGCAGGAGGGAAGGAGGGAGGGAGGAGAAGAAGCCAAGCGTCATGTGCTATGATGAACATGCCCAGGGCGACTACCCCTTCTTGTCCTCCTTCTCTTCCGTCCTCTCCACACGCATACACCACAGAGAAGTCTTTCCCCTCTTCAGGTCATTTCTCAGCCACTTGCTCACTTTTGCATCTCTCCCCCCGCCCCCACCGCCCTTTTCCTTTCCGCTCCCAGTTGATTCAGCAAAATGGACTGCTGCAAGATTATTGCTGCATTCCTGGCCACAAGAAGCCTGTCACCACCTGTCTTAACCGCAGTCTTGCCATCTCACTGCGTAGAGCTTGGGCCTGTCATGATCAGGATCCATCCAAGGCCTTTGGAATGGGCTGGGAGGATTATGGCATTGTGAAGCTTTCATAATGCAGACCCCCCCCCCCCCCCCGCTCCAGTCAAATGCCATAAGCTCAGCTTCTCTAAGCCACCATGAATTGATTTCACACTTTCCCTGAGGAATGGAGAGGGAGCCAAAGGAAGCCAGTGGCTGGTTCACAAGGGAAGCTGATGGCCCATTGCTGGGGGATGGGGGTGATTGAGCCACGGGGAGTGGGGGGGGGGGGTTCGGAACCCAAAGGAATTGCCCAGCCAAGGGGCAAGTTGGGTCCGTCATCATCAGGATCCATCCAAGGCCTTGGAGGATCGTGGCATTGTGGAGCTTTCCTAATGCAGCCAGTGGCTGGTTCACAAGGGTAGCTGTTGGCCCATTGCTGGGAAGGGCTGGGGGTGATTGAGCCACGGGGAGGGGGGGGGGTGGGGGGGGGGGGGTTCGGAGCTCAAAGGAGTAGCCCAGCCAAGGGGCAAGTTGGGTCCGTCATCATCAGGATCCATCCAAGGCCTTGGAGAATCGTGGCATCGTGGAGCTTTCCTAATGCGGATCCCTCTCTCCCCCTCCCCAGTCAACTGCCATAAGCCCTGCTTCCCTAAGCCATCGTGAAGCTGGAGAGAGGGAAGGGGGCGAGAGAGTCACGGGGAGATCATCAGTGGCCAAAGAAATAGCCCAGCCAAGGGGCAGGTCGGGTCTGTCATCATCAGGATCCATCCTTTGGGGAAGGACGGACGGATTATTGCACTGCCCAGCTTAACCCCCCCCCCCCACCCTAAAACGCACTGCCGTAAGCCCTGGTGTTCGAAGCCACCTCTTCCCCTGAGCAAAGGAAAGAGAAGCCAATGGCTAGTTCACAAGGGAGGTTGCCAAATGGGACCAGAATCCAACCCAATGAAGCTGTGTTGAGGGGGGGGGGATCCTTAACCTCCTGGCCCCACTGAAGGCCCTTCCGCCCTGATCCACCTGCTGCTGCTGCTGCTGCTGCTTCTCCTCCTCCTGCTTCTTCTGCGGGAGTCTCCGGCTTTCCCGGCATCACTGCATTATGGCGCGCGCGCCTTGGCGGCCCGGGCTCCGAGGCGGGTCCCCGAAGCAGCCCACGCTTCACCCGAGGCTCGGCCGCCCCAACCCGCCCCACGCCGCGCCGCGCAGCCCGGACCACAACCCATTGCCTCCGGCGGAGGCGCCTCCCGCAGCGGAACCGAAGGGTGCAGCCCCTGAATTCCTGCTTGCCCTCCCCCGCCTGCCTGCCTGCCTTCCTTCCTCGCCCCCCCCCCCGCCTCCCATTCCCCCTTCTCTCTCTCTCTCTCTCTCTCTCTGCCTGAATCCTAACCCGCCGGGCCTTGTGTTACCTTCGGTTGCATAGCTGTGATCGCGCAGGAAACTGTTGTTTATCTTGCGGGTATCAATGTCCTCCTCCATTGACAGCGGGCTTACTTTTGTGGGAAGGGAGAGCAAGCAGGCAAGTATCCATCATCGCCCCGCCACCACCGGGATCAGCGGAGAGGCGCGAAGCGGGGGAGCAGCCGGGAGGCCAACATGCTCCTCCTGCCTCTCTGCAAAAAGGGGGGCGGAGAGGAGGAAAAAAATCAAACCGAAGGAGGGGGGGAGGGAAGGAATAAAGAAGAGGTTACGCTTTGAAAAGGGCAAGCAAGCGAGCTTTCACCTCCTCCTCCTCCTGCGGCGGTGGCAAAGGTCCAAGTGGCTTTCTCTTCCTGGCGCTGGCGCGAAGGTGCCGCCCGCCTCCGCCTCCAGCCGGGGATGATGATGCTGGGGAGGCGCAGGGCGGAGGGGGAGGAGGGCGAGGAGGAGGAGGAGGAGGAGGGCCACGGGCCCCTCGGGTGCTTGGGGCAGGCGCGCGGGCGGGGCGCGAGCAGGGCCAGGCACAGGCACACGCTTCCTCTTCCTTTGCCGCCTCCTCCTCGGGCTCCTTTCCCTCTCCCTCGCAAGGCGGCGGCGGCGGCGGCAGCGGCGGCGCAGGTCCCGATGCCCAGCGAGGTGGCTGCTGCAATCCCGGCTCCCAAGGCGCAGTGCTGCCGCAGCCGGGCGCCTTCCTCCTCCTCCTCTTCTCCCTCCTCAACAGGTTCCCCCGCTGGCCCCGCCGCCGCCGCTGCTCTCCTCGGCATGCGAGACGCCCCCGGCCCCGCAAGATGCTCTCCCCAGTCTCCTTCCTTCCTTCCTTCCTTCCTTCCTTCCTTCCTTGCTTGCTTGCTTCTTTCCTCCCCGCGGTGCGGAAGGAGAGCGGGAAAGGCAGGCGGAGGAGGAGGAGGAGGAGGAGGAGGAGGAAGAGGAGGTCTCTCTCTCTCCTTCTCTCTCTCTCTCTCTCTGCGGCAGGCGAGGCTTGGCTGCGGCTGACTGCTGCAACGCGCCGGGACCTGCCACCGAGCGCGCGCGCTGCCGCTGCTGCTCCTTCTGCTGCTGCTGCTGCTGCTGCAAAAGAGCGAGTCCTAGGGCTTAGTTGCGGCAGCGGCAGCGGCGCTCTGCTGGAGCCTGCTGGTGCATTCACACCCCGAGGCTCCTCCCATACAGCTCGGCTTCGGCCAACCGCGGCAACGGCGGCAACGGCAGGCCCGAGACTCGGCCCCGGCAGCGGCGGCAGCGGCGGCACTGCGGTAGCGCTTCTCAGCGATGCCTCCCCGGGAGAGGGACGGAGCGAGGGGAATGGCCGTTTGGGCAAGGCCAGGCCTAGGAGGAGGGGGCGGCGGGCGGCGGGGCGCAGCCAGGGAAGGAGGCTCCAGTCCAGAGGAAAGGGAGCTCCGGGGGCGCGGCAGGGACGGAGGGAGGGAAGGACAGCGCTCTCCCAAAGGGGCTTTCTCCCCCCCCCCCTTCTATCCTTCTCTGCCCGTCCTTTCTCTCGCCTCCCCCCCCCCCCTTTCCCATCCATCCCCGGCTAGAGACTGAAATTTCGGAGCGCAGTGGTGTCCGGTATTGATCTCAATGCGTTGGAATTTGGGCAGCGGGGCCCTTTGGGGGTGGGAGGGACGCTTGTTGCCTGCCTGAGGAGCTTCCATCCTTAGGCTGCTTTTATTGTCATATAGACAGTAAAAAACCCCATTTTTACCTGGACGCAGAAGAACTTGAAGAGGAAAGGGTTTTAAAAAGCCCAAGTGTTTGAAAAAGCCGTCCCATATCCCAGGTAAGTACTTGAGCAGGACACAAAACTCTAAAGATGGTGGTTTCCAACCATTCCTTGACCAAGGACCACTTTGACCAGGACCTCTTGACTAGGGACTTCTTGACCAGGGATTCCTTTGACCAAGGACCTCTTGACCAGGGACCACTTTGACCAAGGACTTCTTGACAAGGGACCACTTTGATCAGGGACCACTTGACCAGGGACCTCTTGACCAGGGATCTCTTTGACCAGGGACCACTTTGACCAGGGACCTCTTGACCAGGGACCACTTTGACCAGGGACCCCTTGACTAGGGACTTCTTGACCAAGGACCACTTTGACCAGGGACCACTTGACCAGGGACCTCTTCACCAGGGACCTCTTCACCGGGGATCTCTTTGACCAGGGACCTCTTGACCAGGGACCAGTTTGACCAGGAACCTCTTGACCAGGGACTTCTTGACCAGGGACCACTTTGACCAAAGACCACTTTGCCCAAGGACTTCTTGACCAGGGACCTCTTAACCAGGGACCTCTTGACCAGGGACCTCTTGACCAGGGACCCCTTTGACCAGGGTCTTCTTGACCAGGGTCTACTTTGACCAGGGACTTCTTGACTGGAGACCACTTGTCCAGGGACCATTTTGACCAAGGACCTCTTGACCAGGGGCCACTTGACCAGGGACTACTCTTCAACATTACTACCAAAAGGGTTTTGAATCAGTCTTTGGTCAACTTTAGATTTGATTTGGTCATTTGGGGTGCTGATTCAGAAAATTGCATTGGATAGACCACATCAGTTCTAGTTTCTGATACAGAACATATGCCATCCAGTAGCCACCATCTGCTTGTCTACAAAAAACCATATTTAATAATCTAGAGCTGATGTGGTCTATCTAATGCAATTTCTGAATCAGCACATCAATTAACAGGTTGAAAAACAAAGAGACCAAGGCACCCCCACTTCCAGGTGCCACATGGAATGGCTCCGCTGTGGGGGGGGGGGTGGAGGGGAAGAAGCATCAGTCAGTAGGCTTGTTGTCATGCGTTTTGTGTGTAGGCACTCTGAGAGGGTTTTGCGAGACCAGTTGCTCTTGTTGCAACGGTGTAGTAACAGTGAGGTCACAGACTATATTTTAGTCCTTGGGGACCACTGGTGGTCCATGGACCACAGGTTGGGAACCACTGTTCTAAGAGAATCAACTTGGTATAGTGCTTTGAACCTTAGGCTGCTCCTCTGGAGGCCAGGATTCAAATCCCCCCCCCCCCCCCCCCCCCCCCGAGCCACGGAGATCTGCTGAATGGGTGACCTTGGGCAGGCCACACTCCCCTCCAAGGAAGCCTGTGGTGCTCCAGCCCAACAAATCTTGACAAGAAAACCCTGCAATGCCTTCATTATAGAGTCAGGGAAAAGGCACACAACCACAAGACTAACATCAGTCACACATCTAATCACAAATCGCAAATACAAGTCCCACAAGTGGTCTGATTTAAAAATATAAGACTCCCTCTGAATCCGATACAGCTTTGAAAATTGATGCCTGGAAGATTGGAAAGTAGTGTCAGCCATAGACATTACCGTGCTTGAAAGTAGAAGTAAAAAATTAAGTGCCACTCTGCTATTTTGAATCTCATTTTTTTTTAATGTCAAGATTGGAGGGAAAGAAAATGGTACCCATTTGGTAATTGATACCTGACACAAGCTGGACCAGCCAGGATAAATAGAAACCTCCTACTGAGAGCACTGTGCTGGTGGCACAGCAAATTAAGCTGCTGAGCTGCTGAACTTGTTGACAGGAAGCGGGGTGAGCTCCTGCTGTTAGGCCCAGCTTCTGCCTACCTAGCAGTTCAAAAACATGTGAATGTGAGTTGATCAATAGGTACCGCTCCGGTGAGAAGGTAATGGGGCTCCATGCAATTATGCTGTCCACATGACCTTGGAGGTGTCGATGGACAATTCCAGCTCTTCAGCTTCGAAATGGAGATGAGCACCACCCTCCAGAGTCAGACATGACTAGACTTAATGCCAGGGGAAACCTTTACCTTATGGAGAGCACATGGTTTTATGCCATACCACTGGTACCCCAGCAATGGTAACTTTCCTCTCGGGTTCTTTTAGCTGGATGACAACCTAGTAATTATACACCAGACTGTTACTTAACTAGAGACAGAGTGGCATAGTGCTTACAGTGTTGGACTAGGATTGAGAAAACTGTGGTTCAGACTCCCATTCTGTCCTGAGGCTCAACAAGTGACCACAGACTATCTGTCACTATCTGTCAGCCTGACTTATCTCACAAGGCTGTGAGGATAAATCAGGGAGGATCAAGCAGCAGGAAAGGCATGACATAAATGGAAATTAAAAACCTGAAGGCATGCCTACTTACAAAGAACATGTCCCCTAATATGCAAGTTAGGAAATCTATTCTGGGATGTGCTGGGAAAGGAAATTGGGGCATGGATGGTCTTGCCTGAGGACAAGCACTGGCTAGTTCTGTATCTTACTCCCTATCTGGCCTATCTCTAGATTTACAAATAGCTATAAAAACACAACTCTTCTCTAGCTTTGTCTTTTCACGGGATGCAGCTAGTCCTTGAGGACTGCTTTTTCATTCTGCCCACCAAACATTTTGCTGTACTTCACTTTTCTCTGCTTAACCTTCATTTTGAAAAAGATTATTGTAAATTTGACATATTTGCTGAGTATACAGTGCTTTGGTTGGTTCTAATAAAGGTATTACATGACACTGGCATTTGGATTATTTTTTTCTCTCCGATGGAGCACTTTTATCACCTTGAATGACCTGAAGGAAAGCTTGCATACAAAGGCAACAAATGAACATGATTACTTGGACGATATGGTCTTCCATTGCCAACTTAAAACATTCCACCACTCAGAAAAGAAAGGAACCTAAAGTCCAGGCCCATAGCCAGGATTTTATTTCGGGGGGGGGGGGGCTAAAAAAATTTCAGGGGGTTGGGGGGCTGAGTTTGTTTCGGGGGGGGGCTGAGTCCGAGTGAAAGAGGGTCTAGCCTAGCAAACCTTTTGTATCATTACCCCAATACCCCCATGCATATGGGATATATTGAGTATGGTGATCAGATCATGATATGAATAAACATAACAGTTTAAATAATGCACCAGTAAGGCCTTTTTGCGAACCACCATGAGAATTTCGGGTGGGGGGGCTGAAGCCCCCCGAAGCCCCCCAAGCCCCCCCCCCCCCCCCGGCTACATGCCTGCCAAAGTCCCTACTAAAATGTTCTGTCTCATTTGTTCTTTGCACATGTTAACATTCTGCTATTATTTAAGAATTTCATAGGCTTTATTCTTTCTATATTTCCCAGAATTTGTTAATTACACATTAAATCCAGTGTAGTCCAAACTAAATCCATGGAATCACTGCTATTCATATGAGTGTTCACTTTCAAATTTCAGTGGCTTTGTTGTCACTAGAATGAAAAGGCATTTAGCCCTAGAATTTGTTTTCCCTTATAGATTAAAACCCTATTATATCAGTTATAAATGGGACACCAGTCAATTATCAAGGTGTCGATCCTGCTTCTGAATTCAGAACACACATTCTAGAGAAACAGGAAGCACTGTTTTATTGTAGGCTGGCTTTACTCAAGCCAATTTAATTATGATTTAATTTTATTTTAAAGAATCAACAAGAACAAAGACTGAGTACTGTGTCATTTCAGTTTCTACTTGTAGCAGAAATATTATTCTGCAGTTTTGGAGCCTGAGGGCCTAATATTGCAGTTTGAATGCAGTTGACGTCTTAAAGGTTTTCACTTGGGCCTCCACATATAGTAAAACTGGATGATCTGATCTGTAGTAATATGTGTATCCCTCACCTAAGAAAGCACTATGAAATAGATGGGGTTGCCATAAGTTGACAGGCAACATGAAGATACTTTTGCACAGAAAATGTGGAGAAATGCTGAGGAGTCAGGGAGGATGGTTAGGTGGAAGCCCCAGCTCACTAGTGGATTGGGTTGTTGTAGTTTTTTTCAGGCTGTATGGCCATGGTCTAGAGGCATTCTCTCCTGACGTTTTGCCTGCACTTTGGCAAGCATCCTCAGAGGTAGTGAGGTCACTACCTCTGAGGATGCTTTCCAAAGTGCAGGCGAAACGTCAGGAGAGAATGCCTCTAGACCATGGCCATACAGCCTGAAAAAAACTACAACAACCCAGTGATTCCGGCCATGAAAGCCTTCGACAATTCACTAGTGGATTGTTTGTGCTATTATCACTTTTTCCAAATAATTAAAATGCATCGCTTCTTTGTTCTTAAACTTCT